GATTTGTCTATTGTCAGTTAGTTAAATAAAATCTGTGCGGCTTCTTATGGAGTGAAAAATATTTCTTCATTTTCTACCTTTGTTGTCATTTAGTGGGTTGCTGAACACTGAATCATAGTGTTGTATTTAGATTTCACCATTCTGTTCATTGTCAGTATACGGTCTCCTTTCAGGTAGTGGTCAGTTCTACAGGTAGTTCTTAGCTTGGATTTTGCATAGGAATAGAAATGTTTTGGGTTTCTTCGCAATATCTGTATGGCCCTTTGTTCCCTTTGTACTTCCTCTTTGATATGACATTCCTAACTTTAGGTAAGGAGATTTTGAGTGCTTGGGGCTAAGATGTCAAAGAGGCTTATGTGTGTATGTTAGATAGAAGAAAAGGAGGACAAATGGTTTTTATGATTTGACTTGCTATTGTAATGTGAGCAAGGTAATATTTATGAAGGGATTCAGGAACCAGGTAGCCCAAAGTTAAATACAGTGGATCCCTGGTTAACGATATTTTTTCACTCCATAAGTATGTTCAGGGTGCCAGTACGACCGAAATTTATTCCCAATTATTAAGGACATATTGCTTGAAGTAGAATAGTCATTTCAGACCCCCAACATACTCGTACAAACGCCACTTACATAAAATCACTACATAATTGGTCGGCATTGGATGTATCGTATTTATGCGGGGGTCCACTGTACTGGAGATGGAAAGCAAAGTACAGTTCCTGTGCTCAGGAGGATTGGATTGTTTTGCAGTTCAAAGGATCATCTCGAATTGTAATGTCAATATGGTTTTTAGGAAGAAAGGCAAGTAATTGACCGTGAATGATTGTGAAAGGCTTTTTTTTTTTTTTATGGGTCACCCTACCTCTGTGGGAGATGCCAAGTTAAATACTGGAGATGGAAATACAGTTCTGTGCTCAGAGGATTGGAGAGTTGCAGTTCAAAGGATTCTCTGAATTGTAATGTCAATAAGGTTTTGAAAGGGCAGTAATTGAGTGAAATGATGGTGGAAAGGGCTTTTTTTTTTTTATGGGTTCACCCTACTCTTGTGGGAGATGGCCAGTATGTTTAACTCTTGGCGTACCTTGAAATTAAAATCCCGTCAGTGTCACGAGCTTTCAAAATAAAAATAAAATTTCTAAAATGGCTAGAGAATTTTTTTCTAAAGGTAATATCAACAAAACTACAAGATTTAAAATTTAAGAAATTATGAAGGCGGAGAATCGAGAGAAGGAAGAGGAATATGGGGTCGGGGAGCACTTTTACACAACTGTTGTTTTGCTTGCTTTGAGGCCTATTTTAGGCCAGTTTAAATTACTTAAACTGACCCAATTCCTGGCTATTTTGCTAGTTGTTCGAGTCGTGAATTTTAATTTTCAGTTTCCAGTTACAGTATTACAATAATGTATTTTTTTCACATTGCAAAATATTTTTTTAAAAATTTTTAAAAAATAATTTATTGACCACATTATGAGTGCAATTTTTTTAGTCCATATTTTTTTTTATGGATATCATTTAGAAAATGTTTTCTGTTTGTCTTCATCAGTTTATTATGATGTAGACCAATTCAGAAAATTTTATTTTTTTTTTTTTATATTTCAAGGGGCTGACGGATCTGAATTTAAATTTGTAAAGAATAATGACATTGGGATTTTTAAAAGAAATAAGTTATTTTATGTATAGCTTCCCCTTTTTTTTTAAACCCATTAATCAGTAAGCACTCCCTTATGTATTTAACATATAAAGCATAATTTAAAAAAAAATAAAAAGGAAAAATACTGGATCGATATCGCCTAAGCTTGAGTATTTGGATCAAAAAATAATTTGTTTTTAACTTTTCCCCTATTCCCACATAATAAAAACTTTATTTATTTACAGGGAATTGGGAGCCCATGCTTTGCCAGGGAAAAAGAAGGTGATAATAATAGGGGAATTTTCGTATCAAGTCCCTGGGAGAATTGGGTGGTAGAACTACACTTTCAGCATTGACATCAAGTGTGTCCCAGACTTTTACCCTGAAAGCGAAGGAGTCTGTTGAGCTCTATGTTATAAAAAGTATTTCTCGGAAGAACTTACCATTTGTAGTGTTGGAATATATACATCATTGAAATAATTGAAAAACCCTCCGCCAAATAACAACTCGTAAACCAATAAAAAAATTTTTCGACAAAACCAATTTTAGATCCTGACCTTTTAAAAAATATGGTGGGGAGGAGCGGTTTGCAAAAATTTTTTGGTAACAGTTCTGAAGTCTATTTTACAACTATTCTTCCAGTAAACATTTCAAGTTTAATTTATTTCATTGCAAACGCATACAGATTCTACTCATGAGTATTACTTCCTAAACGTCAAATGATTTTACAAATCAATTTACATTTTACATCATTAACTCCAAAGTCACAGAATTTAACGAAGAAGAGAAAGGAAAAATTTTTCCATGGAATCTCTTTTCCTTTTACTTCAGGGAACAATTCAGGTAGATGCATATCTGTTAATGGTTTAAATCC